ACTTACTGAAGTGGGGATGACTCTGAAGAGGAGGTTGGGGGATAGGTAGTCAAGAGTTTACTTTTGAACTCGTTGAGCTTGAGAAACCTATTTGACAAGTATTGAGTGGGCAGTTGGGTATATGAGTTTGGAATTCAGGGGAAAGGTCTGAGCTGGAGATAAAAATTTGGGTCACCAGTGTACAGATCATTTTATAGCCATGAGAGTGGGTGAGATTACCTAATGGGAAAAGCGCCAGGAACTGAGCCCTGGGGCAGTTCGACATTTTGAGGTCTTGAGAGATGAGAAGAAACCAGCATAAGAAATCCAGAACAGTGGCCAGAGAGATTAGGAGGAAAATCAAGATTGGGTGGTGTCCTGGGAGTCAGGAGAGAAAGGGTTTCAAGAAGGAAGAAATGACCCACTGGGTCAAATACTACTGATCAAACATGGAAGTGAGGGCTGAGATTTTTCTATTGGTTTTAGCAACAGGGAGGTCATTGGTGATCTTGAGAATAGAAGGAGGCCAAAGCCCTAATGGAGTGAGTCCAGTAGAGGATGGGGAGAAGGAACTAGGGACAGAGATATGGTTAACTCTTTGAGGGAGTTTTCTTATAAACGGGAGCATAGACATGGGACAGTAACTAGAGAAGGATATGGAGTCAAGGGAGGCTTTTTTTTTTTTTTTAAGATGGAAGAAACGGGGCTCCTGGCTGGCTCCAGTTGATGGAGCGTGCAACTCTTGATCTTGGGGTTGTGAGTTTGAGCCTCATGTTGGGTGTAGTGAAATAAAATCTTTAAAAAAAAAAGATGGAAGAAACAAAATGATGCAGTAATGAGGGGAAAATTGATGCTTCTTGAAACTGAGGGGAGAAGTGCTAGAGGGATGTCCATGAGAGGGTAAGACTAAGAGGAATGGGGTACACAGGGATGATTATGATATTGGGACCTAAAGGACTAAATCTCATTAAGTAGGATTCTGCTTTTTCTTCTGAGCACTTGTTTGCATTTAAATGTATTTCAAACTTATTTATGCTTTCTGTTAGAAGTTAGGAAGGGCAGATAAAAAGCAGTAAAACTTATTGTATATAAAATTAGTGTATCAGCTTGGTGTAGTAGAAGAGAAGAGATTGAATCTTCTGCGTAAGGTGACATTTTAAAGTGTCTTTGAATGACAATTATCTGTGCTATTCTAGTCCCTTATCAAAATTTATGATTGAGCACAGACTATAAACTTAATTGTTCGAATTTGTAGTGGGATGAATTTTAGCCTAATTTAAAACAGGATCTAATGTTAAACCTTTTCTCTGTAAAATTTGTTTATTATTTAATATATGTTCTTCATACAAAGGTTTTAGATATTTTACAAAAGGTACTTAAGTTATTAATCACCTTTGATTTAGTGATGGAATTTTAAATTTTACAACCATATTAGAAATCTGAATGATTCATTTCTTTACCAGCTCTAATTAAAGCAGCTCCCTGTGAAGTTCTGGAGAGGTGAACCATCTTTAGTTTGCAAAAAATCATGGGAAGTTATGTTAGCAAGATAATATTCATCTCTAAAAGCAAAAATAATTTCATTTAGTCCAACTTATGTGTTCTGAGTGCATTTTTAAGAATAAATCTATATTTGAAAAATTTAAGCAAATATGGTTAAAATTTTTAACTACCTTAGCTGAGTATAAAGAGTATGTGAGAAATTAAGTGGACTTTCAGTCACCTTAAATCAAACTTGCATTTCAGACTTAAATACATTTTGCATATAGGTAGTGTTAAAGTACACATTTATGTATAGATCTTTCTTGCTCACTCGCTCTTACTAAATTATAGAAATAAAATCTTTTTTAAATCAGTTTTCAAATGGTAGTCAATTAGAAGAAACACTAGTAGTTGTGATGCACAGTGTTTAAAAATCACTAGTCTAAAAATAATTGACTCTTTTTTAGTATCTGAACTTCTTTGCAAAGAGCTGTGGGTCTCCTCTTCCCAGAATTCTTATATATACAGAACTTAGCATATAGTATCGTAGGGTTGGCAAACCCCTCTAAAGCCCATTCATGAGGATCCCTTAGGCATGAAGGATCTCAAGTTTTAAGACCTGCCCTATATAGCTTACGTATAATAATTTTTCTTTAAAATTTTATATGGAGACTTTTCCAAAAATATTTTGCCAGTATTTACTGTTTCTTAGAAGTGTTACTGCTGCACCTGGTTAAGAGGCGGTGAGGTCTCGTGGAAAGGCCAGCTCAGTCAAAGGAATCTCAGGGTCTGTAAGCTTTTCTCCAGCTTTACAACCAATTGGTGTGTGACTTTTGGGGAAGTCATTTAACCTCTCAGCCTTTCATTTCCTATGTGATATCTACAGTCCCTGTAAGCAGTTCTATGACTAGTTTTATGATTTCATGGTTTCACGATATCATGGTAAAATTCTTTATCAATTGGGGATTAACTCTGCTATTGATTTTTGGAAAAAATGCCCTAGAGATAAGGTGTTCATCCATTGTGTCTTTTTACTGAATTATGACTTTTCAGAAGAATTCATGTGACTCTACTTTCTCAAATGCCATATAAGTAAAAGTAAAAATCCCAATTCTATCCTGATCACTTTGAGTTTCAACATATTTCATATGTTCTGGTTATAAACCATTGTTATTCTATGTGTTGGAATTGTCATCTCCAATTCTGTGCCTTGTTTTTTCATTCTCTGAATGGTGTTTTTTTGATGAACAGAAGTTCTTGATTTAGTACAATATATCAGTCTTTTCCTTTTCATTATATTTTAAAATGGCAGTATCTTCTTCTCTTATCTACTTGTTTTTATCCAAAGTCATTCATTTAACAAATAATGCTGTGGGGGATTGATGCATAAGAAATTATCACCAGCATGAGAAAGCTAACAAGAAATATCTCATAGGGAAAATAAGTCATCAACAAAGTTAAGGGTCCACTTAGTCAATTCATTCATTTAACAGATATTTACTGAACATTTACTATGTGCCTGAGTGGTACAGAATCCTGTAGGTACTATCTGTAATGTTAAGAATTCACTTTTTAAAAATTGAGATATTATTGACCTGTGACATTATTATTAGTTTTAGGTATACAGCATAATGATTCAATATATGTGTGTATTGCAAAATGATTACCACAATAAGTTTAGTAAACATACATCACCACACATAGTTACAATTTTTTTTTCCTTCTGAGAATCCACTTTTAAATAACCACATCATTCTACAGACTTTGGCATGATTTTTCTTTTGGTTGGAAGTCATTCTAATCTTGGTGATTAAAATAGCCATTTATATGGACTTGAGAACTTTCAGAAGTACTGCTGCTAAAGAAAAGGCAGGATAAAACTGCAAATTGAATTTCTTTTGGAAATGAATGTTAACTGCTTGAACTGGGGCCCTTTTAAATTATTTTACTGCATGTTTGGTATGACTGTACTTGATTAAATAAAAATTTATAATCTGGATGACATGAAGATTTTTTACAATATCCCTCGAAATGAGAACACTATTGAAGTAACATCAGTCAACAAACATACTATGTTTAAAACATAAGGAAGTTTTAGAGCATGGTATGTGGAGTTTAAATAATTTAATAGTAAAATATTAGAAAAATTTTAATTTTTGTTTCCTCATGTTTTTTAACTGAAAAAGAAGTTTGGAGTGGGGAAGGGTTAAAAATAAACAATATAGGGTGTCTGGCTGGCTCAGTCAGTAGAGCATGTGACTCTTGCTCTCAGGGTCATGAGTTTGAGCCCCACGTTGGGTGTAGAGATTACTTAAAATCTTTTTTTTTTTTACATTATTTATTTATTTGACAGAGAGAG